GGGCGAGGTGACAGTTGTGCTGCTGAGGCGGCTTAACGAACAGAGGGCAGCAGAAGTTTGCATTTCGCATCAGTTAAGGGGGGAAAAATCCTTGCTAATGACAGTAGCAAATGTCCACTTTGGTAACACGGCTCCTCAGTGGTGCTTCTCCTGACATTTCAGTGGATAGAACCTTTAGGGGGACTGTGTGTCATGAAGTCAGCGAGCCTGTCATCAGCCAAACAGGTAGCAGGTCACAGGATGATGAGACTACACAGAAACACCTTGAGGTTCTTAAGTCTCTGTTACTGCAGAGATGAGTGTCGTTCAAGGAGTGAGACCTTCTCTCCTCCCCCTGTTCTTCATCTTCCAGCCTTAAGAGTGAAGCGGAGACTGGGGGTGTCTAGGTTAGGCCAGACATGGATGCTCACACCCATCCTCCGAGGGTGAAGAGGAGGCCTGGGTGGCACACAGGAGGATGCTCAGTAGCCCCCTCACGGGGGTAGCTGCCCTGGGCTGATCTGCCTGCTTGAGCTGTAGAATCAATCTGTCCTCGTGCCATAGAAAACATCTGTGTTTGTTTTGAGATGTAGGAAATAAAAATCACTTCTTTTTAGAAGGTATTTTAAAAAGAAGTCTTTTCTCTGGGACTCAAGATGAAATGGTTGTATATCTTATTAATGGTTTTCATTGGATGCAGTGATGTTCCTGACTGCAAAGACCCAGGCAGCCCTTGAATATAGTTCACTGAAAAAAAAGTCTTCTGAACAGCTTTCTCAGAACTCAGCTTGGTGGTTCTGGGCTTACGGAACAAATCTGAAACACTGATAGCCAACCTCTAGGAAGGGAGGAAGCAAGCTCTGCCTTCAGGATGGGAGGAGTTTTGTAAGGCTGAATTTTAGGCAGATCAGTGTAATGCTTTTAAAAATTTGTCATTTTCTAATGGTAAGTTGAGAGAGAAGGGAGAAAACTTTTAGGGGAAGACAAGATGTATTTGAAAACAGCCTGTGTTCAGTGTTTTAAATGCCTGAGTTAGACTTGGAAACTCCAGAGGGCCTCCAGAGGTCTTTCACTTTGAACATGTGTGATAAGAGGTCAGGAAGGAAAGTAAGCAAATAAATAAATAGACCTGGTCTGCTCCCTCACAAAGCCATCCTCATCTTTGCCCGACTTTAACATCTTTATAGCTCCCTTCTTTCCCTAGTAATATTGAAAGGATTACCCTCGTTGGCCTCTGGGTGGTTACTGTGTGATTTTACTGTTATTAAATCTATTATAAACTGCTTCATTATTCCTGACTTCGACTGTCTCTCCTTTAATCCTTCCGTCACCCTCTCAGAAATCCCATGCTGTTGGCCCCCAGGAAATACGTGAGCGAGCCACAGTCTTGCAGACAGTGTTTGAAGATTATGTGCACTCCAGTGAGAAGACAGTCTCCTGGGCGAAGAAAGGTCAGTGGGTTTCTCAGGTGACTGAGGATGGGGTGGCCCCACAAGGTCCTGACCCTACCTCTCACTACATACACCCATGGTTGAAAGGGTGTCCAGGGACCTCTGTGTGCCAGCCAAAGCCTTCAGTCTGCAGTAATTCTGCAGGGTTGGGAAGCAGGCTCAGAAGGCTTTAAAGTGATATTAAATGTTAATTTCATCCCTTCCCCATCTTTTGCACAAATGAGGCTTTATCCTGGCTTATATCAGGACTAGAGCTTTGACCCAACAACTTGGATCTTGGGGATCTGTTTTTCTCTGCCTTTGAACATCAGATAGAAGAGGTATGACACGTAGTAGAAATGGTCATGGGGATGGAAATTACAGGTGAAGGTTAGGGCTGGAAACATTAGACCTCAGCAGCTCCCATTGGAAGGCTCAAAGAGAAAGGAGAGCGCTGCTGAGGAAGGGCGGGAGACCTACACCACTCCTGGGTGGTCACTTAGTAGTTATTTTAATTTTATTTATTATTTTTATTTGATGTGTATGCGTGTATTGCCTGCATGTAGGTAAGTGCACCCGAGTCGTGCAATGCCTGCGGAGGACAGAAGAGGCCATCAGATCCCCTGGAACTGGAGTTACGGACAGTTGTTAGCTGCCATGTGGGTGCTGGGATTCGAACCTGGGTCTTCTGCAAGAACAACCAGTGTTCTTAACCGCTGAGCCACCTTGCCAGCCCCTAAACACAGCTTTTTTAGAAGGTGGTACAAGCTGTAGAAAAGCAAAGCAGGTAACAGAGGAAGGGATGACAGCCGGAGTGTTTAGTAAGGTCAGAGTAAGCTCTGTTGAGACCAAGGTACTTGAGCAGAACTCCAAAATGGGATGCACCTGTGTCTTCTGAAGAAGGGAGGCAGTGTGGATGGGAAGAGGGGGCTGGTTAGGCAAGGCACCACCACGTAGGGCCGGGAGGTTCAGTGAGCTGGGAGTCATTGGACGGCTTTTAAGGTGTGGTGTGATGAGCCATCATCATCACATCACCTGGCTGCTGTGAGCATAGACCTGGGGGTAAGAGTGAAAGCTGAGAGACTGTGCCAGTGAGGGTGGCCATCAGCAGTAGGCGGTAAAGGCAGACTTGCGGGCCTGGGCATGCAGTTCCATAGAACATTGTCTAGCATGTACAAGGCCCTGACTTCAGTCAAAGAAGAAAAGATTTTCAAGTAGTTATCATACCGTTAGCACATGATAAAAGCGGTGTTTGGTTGTCATAAAGCTTAAATCAGAGCTACCCATACTGAAAGACGAAGCCCCAGTGACTGCCAGCCATGTGTGACGGGTCTGCCCTGGTTTTTCCTCAAGCAGTACCCCATTTTCTCCGCACTTCCCAAGAGTTTTCCCAAGAACCTACCTCTAGAGAGGGATTGGGGTGTCTCAGTCACAGGGTTTGTTCCTGTGATTTGACCTGTGAAAAAAGTTAAGCAAACTCAGCCAGCTGTGCTGTGTTCAGAAATGGCAACATTGCAGCGTTCCCCACTGCCTTCACTTCTGTCCAGTGACGCTTCAGACATTTTATTTTAGCAAGACTGCAGCTATCTAAAGGTGCCTGGACAGCCCAGTAAAAGTTAGCAATAAATAATTGGTAGGAAATGTAATTTGGGGCTTTTTCTCTTCATCAAAGTTATTTGCCTTATTTAAAGGTTTATGCACCATGAGGGAGTGTATTGATCATTTTTCTTTTAATATTTTTTAAATTTCTTTTATGTGTATGAGTGTTTTGCCCATGTGTACGTAAGTGTACCCATGTGCATGCAATGCCCACAGAAGCCAGAAGAGGGCATCTGATCTCCTGGAACTGGAGTTACAGGCAGTTGAGCCTGGAGTTCCAGGCAGTGTGGGTGCTGGGAACAAAACTCAATCCTCCCCGAGAGCAGAGAGTGCTCTTAACCCGAGCCATCTCTCAGCCCCCATTTCTCTTGTTTGCTAAGTGAGTTCCACTCTGGATTGACAGGGGCAGTTGTAGTTGCTTTGCCTCCACCCCAACCCCTACTGGTGTTGGTCACCTCACAGACGAAGCTCCTTACTCGTCTCTCCCGTTACTTAGGATTGTGACTACTGGAGACTTGGGAAGGTGTGCTCATGTCTGCCTCCCTAGGGGAACTGAGCTCATGGCATCAGAAAGGCCACTGCACCATAAGTCGGCACCTTTTGCATTTCTGTTTGCACGTGCGATCCCAACCAGCTCCCTTTCAGGACATTTCAGAGCCCATCTTATGCATAATTTAAAAAGCAGCTGGCTTTGCCTTCATGGCAGAAAACTGGGCCACCACTGTTCATAGCCCTTGTCTTAAGTGTTACCTATCTCTAGAACAGTCACTTCCCCATCATTGTGTGAGTCTTTTAAAGCTAGGGACTCGGCACAGAAATCGTGGTGATATATTTGCATTCTAGACCCTGAACGAAGCTTTTGTGAGCAGAGTCCCCTGCCTGCACATGCCCCCTGTTCTGTGTTCTACCATCTCCATCTCCTGGTGTCCCTGCAGAGCTGGGCGCATGTATAGTCCTTATGCCCATGCTTGGAAGAGACACTTCTTGGTGGTGACATGTTCTCTCCTTACCTCACCTCAGCGGGATGGAGCAGGCTCAGCACTTTGCCAGATGCTTTGTGTTTAAGGAACCTTAACAAGCCATCCCTTCCTCACAGCCTTTGGGTAGGTCCACGTGCCCTTACCATGCACCACAGGAGGCTCTTGAGTATCTTCAGGCTGCAGTGTTGTTCCTCTCACATGTCTTAGGCCTCACCTGTAAGATACTCCTGTTCCTGATCCAGATGTCCATGAATAAAAAAGGACAAAATGTCCAGGTGGATTAGTTTAGACAGATTCCTCAAATTCGCGCACTTTAAATAGCAGCTGGAGATAGGAGCCGGCAACCAGAGTCCTCGACCTCATTGCCTGTAGCTTCATCCGTCATCCTGAATAAACGTCTCCTTCCACTTCCTCTGCGCTTTGCTGCTGCATTGGTCCCACGGCCGTGGTCCTTCTGCGCTTTCTAGACACTGCCAGCATGAGCCATTTCCTGCCCCTGCTGCCTCAGAATTGTCCAAACACGGGAGTCCAAGTGTGCAAGGATCGCCAACTGTCGCTGTCCCCAGTGAGACAAGAGCCTGGAGGACAAGGGGGTTTAGTAAAAATATGCAGCGTGAAATGCAGCCTGGCCAGTTGTCTGGGGAGAAAACACTTGCTGCCATTGCTTGGCAGACTCATTATCCCTGTAAAGCTGTTAGCTGGGCACCTACATCTCCTGGGACAGTCCCCTTGCTCTGTTTCTAGGAGTGAGTGGTGTGGTGGAGAGGAGGGTGGTGAGCCAGGCAGAGGCCCAGAGCTCAGCTGCATTGCAGAAGAGTAGTAGGAAATGAGACGCGAGCCAGGGTTGCGGTGACTGTGACTTTAAATGCTCAGCCTCTTGGATTGGTTTGACCCATTGGGATGTTTTAGACCCGAGCGAGTGTGCTGGGCTTGGGGAAAGAAACAAGTAAAAGAGAGATTCAGCTCTCACGGTCACTGCGGTGCCAGAGGGCTCGCTGAGAGTGTCGGGGTGGTGTGTAGGTCTGTGACAGGGAGCCAGTGTTGGAACCCTCCAGACAGTGCAGACCATTTGAAGTGTTAAAGATTCTCTTTGAAAAAGCTGGTCCCTGGTTATGAAAAGGGGGGTGAGCACAGATTTAAGAGAGGGGTGCAGAGGAGTTGCCGTGGTTATTATTTCCCATCGATCAGGAAAAGGAGTTCACTTTGCTCAGTAAATAGAGCTTTGACGGATTCCCAGGACCCTTCCAGGAGCTGATCTGCTAAAATGACACTTTTTATTACTGTTCATAAACGCCAATCTCCAGGTGCTGCTGGGATATTGCACTTAAGCTGTGGGCAAACTTGCCAGTCCAGTGGCTCAACCACTGAGGCGAGGAAGGCCGGTGCCTGTGCTTCTTCCTCCAGCAGTGCAGGGCCCGTGCCTGTGCGTCCTCCTCTGGCAGTGCAGGGCTGGCTCAGCTCCCCTGGCAGAGGAGCAGGGCCTGGAGGTGAAGAGCATTGATGGCCCAGACATTGCAGAGCATCTGCTGGAGTGAGGGGCGGCTCACTTTCTGCTGTTTAGGGACAGCCGGGGGGAACCAGATGTGGGAGTCTGACCTCAAGGGGAATGTCTGGTGAAGGCATGAAGGCCTGGCCCGAGCCCCAGCCCCCGGGAATGGAGCCCAGCCCTTCTCTCATTGTTCCTGGGGTCTAGAGCAGGAACCAGTCCTGGCTCTACAAAGGGACTGCGGCTTTGCTGTGGGCAGGCCTCCGCTGTTTCCTGGACATTTTAGTTGTTTAGTGATTTCCTTGGTCCTTGGAATGCTTGACTGCATTAACTATTCAAAAACAACTTTAATAAAGAAAAAAGTTTTCCTAATATAAATGTCTAAGAATCCCCTCGTTTTCCATAAGAAAGTGTTGATCACTTCTGAGTTCCTTCGTTCACTCTGCTTTAACCGTGATCGTGTCAGGCACTGTGTGAGCCAGAGATAGCGGCAGATAGGATACTGGCCCTCCACTGTTGAGGCTGTTACCTCAATTGATAGGGTTTTTTCCAAGCGTTAATTGTGGCTATGATTTCCTGTTTGTTGAGGGATTTTCAGAATAATACAGGAGGGTTGCTCTAGGTTACCCTTGTTGTAACTGTTCTGGCTGTGTTCACAAGGTGAGTAGGATGCCGTGGGGCTGGAGTGGCTCTGCGACTTTGGGAACCCATCCTGACCGCCTCCTCGCTTGCTTTCTTCCAGCTCTGCAGTCTTTCATCCGAGCCTATGCCACCTACCCCAGAGAGCTGAAGCCCATCTTCCATGTCCGATACCTCCACCTTGGGCACATAGCTAAGAGCTTCGGGCTAAGAGATGCTCCCAGAAATCTCGGTGTCTCAGCTGTGAAGAGGAGGAAGGCACACGTGAAAAGGTTAGGGAACCGAAATGGTCCCGTGGCAGTGGCAGAGGCTGGAAGTCAGATGGTGGAGAGCTTCATTTAGATTAGTGAGGTGGTCTGGAAAGCTGACGAGCTCCATGGCAACTCTTGAGTGTGTGCACACATGTGTCTGTGTGTGTCTGATACATTGTAGATAGTATTTGCAGGTCAATATAGAGGCACTTAAAACAAGAAGAAAAATTGGGTGGGAGACCTGCCACCGTGGCAGCTTCAGATGGACCGGCCTGGGGAGCGTCTGAGGTTGGCATGGAGACTTCTTTGTGTTCCAGAAGGAGTCCCTGCTCTTTGTTAGGTGGGAAGTGTGGGTTGCTGGGCCTCAGATTCCAAGAGCTGCCTGTGCCGTAGCAGTGCGTACCACCATCTATGGTGCTGATGCATACCTCAGACTCTGAGTGCTTAAGAGAGGCGTGTCCACAGGTCCCTCTGAACTGAATATCAGAGTGAGCAGAGTCACCTTTTGCGGTGGAGGCTGGTCCCTGCGTCCAGCTACTGTGTCTGAGGTGACTGTGCAGCACTTCTTTTTTTCCTTGAGGAATGGTATTCCTCTAGCAGCAGGCTCCTCCCATCACCATTGCCAGGGCTTTGGAGACCCCAAGAATGCTCTCTAGGGAGCTTGGTAGGTGACCACCACTGTTAGGACCTGTGAGTGCGTGATAGTGAAATAGTGTTGGGGCATAAAAATTTTCTTCCATTTGTCCAAGTTTCAATGTGGGCTCTTGGGTGCTGTGAGCACTTACTACATGTTGCAAATGCCACAGTATCCCAGCCCTGACTTAGAACTAGGCATCCCCGTGCCTTGCTGCCTGTTCCCATGCAGAGTCTGTCCCGTTCTTTCACCAAGAAGTGCTCATTACCCCCACCAGCTTGGTCAGGCCTGGCTTTGAAGGGAGAAGACTGCCCTGTGCAGGACAGCGGTCTTCAAATCAGAGAACCTGGACCTGACCCCCAGCTCCATCCTAATGGGTGTTTCACAACCTTTTTCCTGTCTCCTGCCCTTGACTTCCTCAATTACAAAGGGGGGAGAAAGTCCATGTTGCTACTTTGCAAGATTGTCTTGAGGGTTGAAGTTAGGTGGTGCATGTGAAGATGCCTTGTGAACCCTTCAGGGCGGTTAGAGACCTAAAAGCAGATGAGTCAAGGATCAAGGACCTCCAGCTTGACCTGCTAGGGTCTTGGTTTCTCCGCGGCACTTTGGGATGGAGCTATGTTGCTTGTTTTCAGTTCTGGTTTGAGGATTTTCAGGTGCTGGATTGCTGCTTTCTCATAGTAATAGCTCACCTGGGACAGTGTTTCCTCACACTCTGCCACACTGTCATGCTCAGGAGAGTGGCACATCCAGCTGTGGGCAACTTGGCTATGTGGAGCAGAGGCTGAAGCCCAGAGCTATTCCCTGGCACTTCCTACAGGCCTCCTCCCAGAGGAGAGGACACCTGAGTTTCACTCCCATGTCGGTGCTAGTCTTTTCAGGCACCAGAGTTAGGTCCGTCTTTGGGTTTGCTATTATCTGCACACTTTGTTGATCAGAGAATGACCTCATGATTGAAGCCTGACTGTGCTATCACCATCTCTACAATGACAACACTTGGAGGATGTGGGACTAGACCTGACAGATGATCACTGCTATAAGACACTTCTTTATCCCTCACTCCAGAATTACAAACAGCCTCCATATTTTATTGTTAGTGAATGATCTATCTCTGCCACTCACATTTCCCTTCTTAGCAAGTGTTGATCTAGGTGGCAGCTTTCCAGACCAGAACATCCTCAATCCCACACAGGTCCTAGGAAGCAAAGTGGGCAGCAGTAATTAGAGGGCCAGGAGTTAGAGGCAGCGTTGTCCTTACCTTTGAGAGGCCACTGGGGAGAGAGTGACCGCTGCCTCCTGCCTCAGCTGACCCTGCCTGGCAGATGGGCACCAAGATCACTGTACCCCTGTGAGTGGCAGATTGAACGGGGCTTTGTTTGGGGAAGAATGGGCTGGTTAGCTGCCAAAGACCATGTAAGACGGTGTGGGGCAGCCTTTGATGTCTGGCTGGGGCCGCAGGGAGCCGGACTGGGAGGGCAGCAGTGTGTCACAGGATTACTGCGGCGTGGCAGCACCGCTCTCTGTTCCTGCCATGTCACCTCTGTTACAGCCTCTTTTCCGTTGTTGTGCCCCTCTTTTAAAGGCATTTCTCTCCACACTCCCCCGCTCCGCCTATCTAACACAGACGGGCACCGAGGAGACAGTAGGTAACTTTTTGTATTGGGAGAAATCTTGTCACCTCTGGAGGAGAAATGACTTCACAGCTAATCTGCACGTGGCCTGTATAATTGTGGCCAGGGCGAGTGGCACAGGAAACCTGACAGATTGTCCACACCTCCGTCAGGGCTCAAGCAAATGCCAGTTGCTGCTTTTTGAGGAAAGAAAAGTCCAGTGAACCCCACAAGGTACAGAGTTGTGCCTGCCGTGGCCATGATTGTTCTGAGCCGAACTCTCTCCTCTGAAATGTGGCCGTCAAGAAGGAGAAACGGGTTCCTTCTGTTATGTGCAGATAAAGTCGCAGTGTAAACTCCAGAGCATTCTGCTTTCCAGCCTATGGTGTTTACTGCCAGAATAATTACATAGTGAGCACAAACCCATGATGTCTGCAAGCCAGGCCCATGAGACTGTGACCTTGTCATCCCTAAACAGGAAGTTAAGATGGCTGGCCAAATGTGAATTGAGGGCAGATCGGGTTGGGAGACTTGACTATGGGTATTCCCACGCAGTGGCAGAAGGAGTTTTGTTTTCGTATGACCTGTATCCCTTTCCTTGGCCGCTTTTCAGAACAAGAAAGTAAGTAGTAACCCCAGATAAGGTCTTAATAACCAGGTCTGCCAGCTTTCCACCCTCAGTTCCGAAAGGGAACAGTAAATGTCTTTTCCCTACACATAGGAATATAGTCATAGTCACAAAACCTCATCTGAGACGTACACACAGACCTGTCAGAACCACCCCCACCCCAAACACCTACATGTGCGCGTGTACACAGTGCTGTTGGTAAAATATTGAATGGCCCCTTAGCAACACCCATCACGAAAGCAGCATTTTCCTCCACGAAATGCATTTTATTCTGAAGCTGTGTAGATTCGGCAGCTCCTGAGCAGCAGCGGTGGTGACTCAGCCCGTCTTCCCAGGAGACGCCAGGACCTGGTGCTGTCAGCTGTGAACGGACAGAGCTGGCTCAGACCATAGTGTCTGTCTAATCACACATGTGTAGCGAGTCCAGGGGCACACTCTGCAGCGCTGTGGTTCCTTATATGTTCCACACCCTGTGGAAAATGGTTCCAAAATAATGGTAACTCATGTGGCTTAGCCTTAAGATGTCGGCGTCACTGTGACAGTGTGGAAGAGTGAAGCCAGTTCCTAAATCACCCACTTGTGATTACGCGTTATACCACCTTCCCCAGACAGCTCTGTCAGCAGCTACCCAGGACCGTTCTCCAGCTCCAGTGCCGTCTTGGTGTCCAGCAGTGTGTGCGACTGTCGTCATCAGAATGCAGCACGCTGTCCTCTGTTGTCAGCGTGACTCCTTTTAAAATTAATAGAGGAATCACAATCTCAACTTTTGGCTATTATTGAATAATTTTATTTAACTTACGTCAGTTTTATCCATCCTAGCCAAAATGTTACCGAGTAGTTCCCGTTTATGAAGTATTCTAAAATCAAGACCTCCCCTGTTGGTCCTTCCTAGATGGGGCTGTGCTTGGTCAGTGCTCAGCTGACTGGCCAGGGAGAAGTTTGTTGAGGGCTGGCTGCACTGTGCCTGCTCGAAGCAGAAACACCATATCCCGAGGCTTGCTAGCCCAGACTAGCAAGCGTTTCTTTAACCGCCACACTTCTAAAGTCCTAGAAGTCTTTTATGTCTTAAAATAAGTAAACATCCTTACGGAAATTGCACATGGCAGGGAACTGTAGACAGGACACGTGTTGGCACAGTTTTCCCATCTGAATCAGCACAAATATTGCATGTCTGAAGCTCACGTCGGAGATCTTGGAAAGCTCGGGTTTGGGTCATTTTTCATCTTTAAAGGCCTTTGCTGTGTCTCTCTCTGTGACTCTCATCTCTCCCATTCCATCATTGTAAATAACCAGTGAGTGCTCATTGTGTGGAACTGTTCCCCATTAACTGTCTCCCTGTCCCTCCCCTTGCTTCCTAAGTCTGTCGGAGTTGCATCATGATATAGTGTGGGTTGGTGCCCACAGATGTCTAGGCGGAACCTAGCAGAGCCACTTGTATTCTGTGTGCCTCTGGGCAGGCCACTCAGCCTTTCTGTGCCTCAGTTCTCTGCCGTCCAAAAGGGGGCACACAGGCTTCATGGTGTCGTTGTGGAGATAAACCGACTCTGATTGTGAAGCATTGCTGTAGTGATTGGTGAGAGAGAGAGAGAACGAACGCTTGGTTTCCTGGTCTCTAGTACCCAAGTGTCCCTGGGACTGCAGCGCAAGAGTGCATGGGGCATGCAACCTTTTGGCACTCTTGAACTTTCCTTATCAGGAACAACCTTGAAAGCAGAACCAGGTCCCTGGAAGCGTAGTCGTCAGAAGCTGCAGCTGCAGCTCCCTGGGAAGCAATATCCTCATCATTAGGAGCAGCTTGCCTGCCAATTTTTACGTGGCATTTACAACCTCCCTAATATCACTTAATTAGCTGAAGGCAAGCCTGGAATCCTGCCCACTGTGAAAATTTTCTCGATTTCATTGAGCCCGTTATCCTGCAAATAAAAGATTGGCTACGTGTGAGCTCAGGCTGGACACAGCCACACTTGGAAGCATGAGGCTTTCTCCGTGCAGATCCATTGCACCTGAGTTGGTGTTCCCTGGGTCATCTCACAGCACCCAGCACTATTGTTCCCGGGGGCTCCCTGACTCTGTCTCTTCCCTTAGCTTCCGAAACTGTTGGTGAGGAGCAGCTCTTGGGCCTTGACTTCATCTGAGCTCCTGAATGGTT